TTTCTCGGATTTTTTTGTAAAATGAAAAATTCAAAATTCTGGGGAAATTATATATTCGAAAGGTGAAATTTCCCTAAATTTTCCCGTTTTTTGACTTAAGCCGTCCACTGTTCAGGGACGGTGACACCGGCCGGGGTCATCTTTTATATGCTGATGGCCACGTCGATGGGTCATCACGTGGTGTGAGCGGTGAAGCTATCAAAGGTCCGGCACGTGCCACGTGGCCACGTGTTTGAATCGAGCACCTCCCAGATTATCGTGTGTTTGCCGATTTGTGGCGTTATAGCACGAAAACAGCACCAGTCAGGAAGCCTAAAATAGTTCAATCGGCGAGGGGACAAGTCCTGCTTACACCACCAGTGGTCACGTGGCACACGTGCGAAGATGGGCACCTTCGTGGCGGAGATATTTTATAGTGAAATATTCAAATGTACATAACTTTGTCAGTTTAAGTCCGATTGGGCTAAAATTTGGTGGCTGGATGCATTGTTAAGCGGCAGGAACAAGTGCGCCACGTTTGTTGCAGTGCGCCACGTTTGTCTCAAAGCGCCATTTTTGCCGCAAATCGCAGAATGTGCGTATCTTTGTCGAACATGGGACGATTAGGATGCGCTGTGATTGAGGTATGGCTGCCTTAACGGCAGATATGAATGCATCACATTTGCCGCAAGGCGTCATATTTGTCTTAATGCGTCAGTGTTTGCGTTTTGCCCACGGCGGGCGTTTTTTGCGGCGGTGTTTGCGTTTTTTCGGTGTTTGCGTTTGGCGGCGGGCGGCCGTTTTTTTGCGGCGTTTTGCGGTTGGCGGCGGGCGGGCGGGCGTTGCGGGCGTTTTTTGCGGCGGTGTTTGCGTTTTTTGCGGTTTTTGTGTTTGGCGGTGGGCGGGCGGGCGATGCGGGTGTTTTTTACGGTGTTTGCGTTTGGCGGCGGGCGGCCGTTTTAGCGGCGGTTTGCGGCGGGCGGCCGTTTTTTGCGGCGTGTTTCGGTTTGCGGCGGGCGGCCGTTTTTGCGGCGTTTTGTGGTTTGCGGCGGGCGGCCTTTTTTGCGGCGTTTTGCGGCTGGCGGCGGGCGATGCGGGCGTTTTTTTGCGGCGGCGGTGTTTGCTTTTTGCGGCGTTTTTTGCATTTTTTGCGTTTTTTTCTGCGTTTTTCGGCGGGCGGGCGATTGTTTCTTTTTTTGCGAAGTTTGCGTTTGCGTTTTGGGCGTGCGTTTTGCGCGTTTTGCGGTGTTTGCGTTTGGCGGCGGGCGGGCGGTTTTTCACAATTAAAGTCCCAACCTTCGGATCCGCAGTGCTGTTCGACAAGCGCTGCCCGGGCCTATCCGAAGGTTGGGACTTTTCAATTAGACAATCACTATTCTTTAGAATTGTGATTTTCTATTGAAAATCCCAACCTGAGCTACCTCTCTAGGGGGGTGTTTAGCGTTTCTGCCGCGATTTGGGTCATCTTGATACCCTCGAAAACGGCTCGTTAGATTTTTTTGCCATTTTCAGCGTTTGGTCCCGTATGGGGGAGCTACCGGCTGGTACCGGTCGCTTGAAATATAATTAACCCGTTTTGGGGTAATCGGCACGTGCATTTTCCCATAGGGTTAACATGGGGGAAAATTGGAAATTCGATTTGCGAAAAATTTCGTCAATTATATTTGCTGATATTTTTAGGATTGGATCTCGGCCAGGCACCTCACCTTTTGATGTTAGTTATTTAAAAATCATAGGGTACAGTTTCGGGTAATCGGGACGGATAGTTACCCCATGTTGAGCCTATGGCAATTTTGAAAAATTATTTTCAAATCGATTTTGCATAAAATTTCCACGTTAGATTTTGAAAAAGTTCCAATATGTTGTGCACCGGGGTGTTGGCTACCACGTGGTATGGGTCAGATATGGGGCGATTGAAAAGCACGTGCCACGTGCAAACGTGTTTGATGGGGTAACCTCCGGGAAAATCCGACATTGGCCTACTCGGGGTTCTATGGCGCGGAAACGACTTCATCTAGCGACACCAAATCAGTGTAGCCGGTGAGCAGATGAGTCCAGCTTGTCGCACTAGTGGTCACGTGGCGCACGTGCAATTGCACGTGCCGTGGCACGTGGTCAATTTTGGTGCTTAAATATACTAGCATTGTGAAATGCAAGGAATGGGGGAAATAGCCGTCAGGCCGTCAGTTTTTATGATAGGGTCGATCTGAAAACGGGTATAGGCACAGAATGAAGGAGGCTAAAAAACTGCTATCTCGGATTTTTTGTAAAATGAAAAATTTAAAATTCTGGGGAAATTATATATTCGAAAGGTGAAATTTCCCTAAATTTTCCCGTTTTTCGAGTTTAGCCGTCCACTGTTCAGAGACGGTGACACCGGCCGGGGTCATCTTTTACATGCTGGTGGCCACGTCGATGGGTCATCACGTGGCCTGAGCGGTGAAGCTATCAGAGGTCCGGCACGTGCCACGTGGCCACGTGTTTGAGTCGCGTACCTCCCAGATTATCGTGTGTTTGCCGATTTGTGGCGTTATAGCACGAAAACAGCACCAGTCAGGAAGCCTGAAATGGTGCAACCGGCGAGGGGACAAGTCCTGCTTACACCACCAGTGGTTACGTGGCACACGTGTGAAGATGGGCACCTTCGTGGCGGAGATATTTTATAGTGAAATATTCAAATGTGCATAACTTTGTAAGTTTAAGTCCGATTGGGCTAGAATTTGGTGGGTGGATGAATTGTTAAGCGACATGAACGAATGCGCCATGTCTGTTGCAGTGCGCCACGTTTGTCTCAAAGCGCCATTTTTGCCGCAAAGCGCAGAATGTGCTTAACTTTGTCGAACATTGGACGATTAGGATGCGCTGTAATTAAGGGATGGCTGCTTAAACGGCAGATATGAATGCACCACATTTGCCGCAGGGCGCCATATTTGTCTTAATGCGTCAGTGTTTGCGTTTTGCCTACGGCGGGCGTTTTTTTGCGGCGGCGTTTGCGTTTTTTTCGGGGTTTGCGTTTGACGGCGGGCGGCCGTTTTTGCGTTTTTGGCGGTGTTTGCGTTTGGCGGCGGGCGGCCGTTTTTTGCGGTGTTTTGCGGTTGGCAGCGGGCGTGCGTGCGTTGCGGGCGTTTTTTTGCGGTGGTGTTTGCGGTTTTTGTGTTTGGCGGTGGGCGGGCGGGCGATGCGGGTGTTTTTGCGGTGTTTGCGTTTGGCGGCGGGCGGCCGTTTTAGCGGCGGTTTGCGGTGGGTGGCCGTTTTTTTGCGGCGTTTTGCGGTTTGCGGCGGGCGGCCGTTTTTTTTGCGGCGGTTTGCGGCGGGCGGCCGTTTTTTGCGGCGTTTTGCGGTTTGCGGTGGGCGGCCGTTTTTTGCGGCGTTTTGCGGTTGCCGGCGGCCGGCCGTTATTTGCGAATTTGCGTTTTGCGGCGGGCGTCCGTTTTTTTGCGGCGTTGCGCGGTTGGCGGCGGGCGATGCGTTTTTTGCGGAGGCGGTGTTTGCGTTTTGCGGCGGACGGGCGTTTTTTGCGGCGTTTTTTTCTGCGGTTTTTGGCGGGCGGGCGATTGTTTTTTTTGCGAAGTTTGCGTTTGCGTTTTAGGCGTCGTTTTGCGGTTTTGCGTTTGGCGGCGGGCGGGCGGTTTTTCACAATTAAAGTCCCAACCTTCGGATCCGCAGTGCTGTTCGACAAGCGCTGCCCGGGCCTAATGAGTCGAGGAGTTCCTGTAACTCGCGCTCACTCATTGCCGCCGATCGCCCTCGGCAGTTAGCGGCCGCCTACAGCGCCGTCAGGCCGCGAAGCAGTTGACACCGATTTTACTCAGTCGCACATCAGCAGCCGAAATATTGATCAAAGCCGACGCCAGTAAATCACCCGGCGACAAAACTTGGACCGTGACAGGGAATATGGCTTCATTGCTGACGCGTTCAATGGCGGCTCGTCCGTTCAGACACCCTATTCCGGAGATTTATTGTTCCATCCGCGCGCCGCCATGGCCGTTGGTCGCCGCTGACGGCGTCCGCCGCCTCCTGTGCCGTCGTACCTCATACAGAGCATACGGCGCCGGGCTGCCGGGCTGCCGGGGCTGCCTCCTCCGGCCCGACCGGCGAGCCGCCCACCCGCCGCTCCGTCCGTATGACTCGCTCTCTGCCTCTCTCCTTCTCTCTCCGCGGCCAGCTCGGCCTGTTTTTAACCACGCCTTTCCGGGAACGTCTGACGAGACGCTCAATACCCGAAATCGCCGCCGCCGCGTCGGCGAGAGGAGAGGCGCTCTGTGCCAGCACGCGCAGTGCCATCTCACCAACCTGAGGCGCAATCCGACCAACGCAATCCGACGAAAATCCCATTAGCGGTGGCCTCATTGCGGTGCGCGCCTCTGAGGCAATCCATCGCAGCGCGCCGATCAACCCATTTGCCGCCGAGCGCCGCTAATGAATGCATCATCCACGTCGACGTCGGCGTCGGGCCCGACACCCCGCCCCCCCCTCCCCACCCCCGCCCGGTGCCCGGTACCGCCGACGCCGCCAGCGCCGGGCGAGTCATTTGTGACGCATTGAAAATTGCCGGGACTCTCTCTCTCTCTCTCTCTCTCTCTCTCTCTCTCTCTCTCTCTCTCTCTCTCTCTCTCTCTCTCTCTCTCTCTCTCTCTCTCTCTCTCTCTCTTCTCTGATGTAGCATTGGTTCCTGATCATCGATCGCCGGGCGACAATGCCGATTGGCTCAATATTTTCCTCTGTCCGCCATAACTCATTTGGGCTGCGGGTCGACCACGGCGCCTCCTGATTGGAGCATTTTATTTAGTGACTATTGATTTCTCAGCTGTTTAGTGTACGGCCCGCACGATTGTTCTCATCTGGCGGGCGCAACCAGAGCTGTATCGACGAAGAGCACCGGGCCGGGCTCCGCCGCCGCCTCCGACGACCCCAGTGCGCATGTGTGCGAGCCCGTTCTTTATTGGTAACCGGCTCCCAGTTGCGTTTTTAGTTGGTCGAGATGTTACCGTCACATGCGCCCGAGGCTTGCGCCGTGGGTCCCATGATTTACGGTTCTCACGCTAGATGGCAGTGAGGGTTTGCGGAGGTGCGCCATTTTTGTATGACGTGTGCTCGGAGGAGCTGGTGGTGCGCTCTGGTCCGGAGAGACCGGCAGGAGGTCTCACGCGGCACACCGGACTGCGCCAGGTGACCCGGCGGCTGGGGGGGGGGGGTGTGTGGAGGGGGGAGCTGGTGATCCAGAGGGGGGCTGTGATTGAGGGCAGGGTCAGGTGGTGTGCGCTGGTGAAGTTGACATTTGGTGACTCAAGAGAGGTGTGAGGTAACAGGCCAATAGGTGATGTGATGTCAATCGGTGGGGTAATGTTACGGCCAACGGTATCAGTCTCGGTATCGATTTAGGTGTCAATCTCCGGGTCGGTTGAGTCGTTCTCGATGTCAGTGTCAGTGTCAGTGTTGGATTAATTATGGATAAACGTGTCATCTTGGTGTGTGTGCGGGGGTCAGTACAGGCGTCAGTCTCGTTATCAATGAAGATGTCAGTGCGGTGTCGGTATATGTGTCGTATCGGTGTCAGTCTCTGTCTCGGTGTCGGTAGGTGTCAGTCTCTGTGCGAGATGGATGTCTGTGTACCATATGCCTACCTGCGAGGTGTCAAAGTCGACACGACTGTCGAGAAAGTGACCTACTGACGCTGATTTTGGCATCCCGACTCGGTGAAAAGATGTCTGTCGATTTAGGGCTTGGCAATGGTCATAGAACTTCTATGATAGAAGCCAGAGTTGCAACTAGGAAGACGTAAGTCGAAAATTATTACGATCTAAGGCTGTGTTTTACATGCTCCTGATCCGTCTCAGCATTTCCAGGATACTTAACGTTACTTCCTACTAATAAAGTTTTTATATTCTATTTGTAAGGTTACTTATTAGGCAACATAGATAACATTGATATTCATGAAAAATTAAAAAAACTGTTACGCCTACGCTATGTACCACGTATTTTAACAACACATGCCATTGCAAGGGATCGGACGTACAGTGGATCTAGTAAGGATCTCCAGACGTTACTAGATGGCGTTGAGCCTCAGTCGAGTCCATGTCAAATTCAAGGGGAGGTCAGTACCGAGCTGGGCCCGATGGGGAGGTGGGCGGGGGGGGGGCGGTTGGCGAGGTCACGGTGCGGGTGACCTGTCAAACAGCCCCGGCGCGGTGGGGCACTGCCGCAGGCAAATGGCGCACTCCAGTGTTGTTCCATATCGCGGTGGTGGGCCGGGCGGCCGGTTAGCTTGGCTGCTTGGAGGAAAGGATAATGAGGCATGGGTTTGCTGTGGCCGGTTCATCTACGGTCAACTATGATGAACCCAAAGTAATGCAAATATGATGTTGGTAATGCAGCTGGCAATGGAATGCTAGGAAATGTTCCGAGCGCCCGAAGGATTAAGATTATTTATGTCTCCTGAAATTTTCATTGAATATAATTCAAGCACTAGAAATATCGTATCGTTCGCTAATTTTTTTGACCGGCTGTCGTTTCTTGCGTAGAGCGCCCTTGGGTAAATAATTATATCACGCAGGTGATTTATTTTTTGCTGGTAAGATTTAAGGTCAAATCAAGTCGGTGACAGGAGATGAGGAAAAGCGGACGAATGCCACATTTTTGTGCATAAAGTCTCGATTTAAAAAAAAGCTTAAAGTTATTATACGTGTAAGCTAAAAAACAATAAGATCAGTTAATAAAAATATTTGACCCAAAATTTGCCTCTGTTTTCTCTTACCATGATTGCGTGTAAGACACAGGTCCAACCGGCTTCAACCCGACCCAACATGGTTCGGCTCCCCCTTTTTTAATATAAATTTGGCCCGAACCTTTTGAATGAAAGGAATCATGAGGAAAGAGTCCCCCCTAAGCTGAGCTTGTTGCGTTGACCCTACCCTCCACCCTCCGATCAAGCAATTCCTGGTCTATGGCAGAATTTAGAGTCCAAAGTTTAACGTGCGCACATAGCCGCGCACGGCCGATCCCCTCACTGACTTCGCCTGGCAGCGGCCTGCCACCAACCACAACCATACCCGTCAGGAGCTCAAAAACGTCAAGCACACGTCGCGTTTCGAACCCGGACTTTTGCAACCGGGACGTGCGCTCTCACCACGCGGAGTCCAACGCCCTACCAACCGAGCTACCGGGACGGACATTTACCTAGGGGCTTCGCCTCGTGACAATGACAGACGTCAGACACTTTGGCCTAAACATGGATGCCTAACTATACCCGTAGCACTGAGCAAGCTGCGCGGGGCGATAGGTGCTCGTAGCGTTTAGGTTGGGTAACCTGTGAGCTGAACGCGATGTCGTGAGTTCGAGCCCCACTCCCGGGTCTGGTTTTATCTGGACACGAACCAAAACCTTTGCTTCTACTGCAACACAGACAAGCACGATGACATCTTTCGCCAACATCCTTCCCCAAAATCCTCCCAAAAAAGTCAAAATTATCGCTTATAAATGTCTAGCTAAGTTTCATTTTTAAAGAAAATATTTTTGGTCATTTTCCGGAGCCATTTTAACTCTTTCTTTTCGGATTCTATTCGACCCGATAAAACTCATCAAAACTGAACGTGCCAAATGAAAAAATACCCAACTCAAATAACATTTTAGAAAAGCCTAAGACTGTCATCATGCAACTATTGGCTGAATAGTTGCATGCTATTAATACGTCCTAGATTTCAATTATCATTGTTCAAGATTTTGGCTGGAACTGGCGCTGCCTCTCGCTTGCTTGTCCGTTTGTTTTAGATAATGATTCCCTTCAGTCGCATTCTTGCTGGTTCCACATGAACAGGATACCACCATACCGTAGTGAACGCACCCGCACACATCATCCCCTCCCCTCAGCCTCGGCGCAGTGGCGGGCGGCCCTGGGCGGCCCACTCCCGGCGCTACGCACGCCCAATGCGCCGTGATACCGCGTCACTCCCCCTCCCTCCTTCCCCCACAATGACCGGTGACCTCACTTCCCTCGGGATTTGGACTCGCCCTACCCCGACCGTAGCGCCACGTGGTGGCTCTGGAGATCTTAAATAGACCCACTGTACACGGGCGTCACGTTACGAAATTTATTGGTAGGGCTCTAATGGTTAATTTCGGGATACCAAAGCCATTCTTACCATGCACCGCCATAGGGTTAATGTTAAAATTCTGAAATTATTGCTAGGGCTCGGGCCTCTGTCGCCTATACAAAACGACACCCATGGGACGCATGGGCATAACACTTTCCTTAGAGCAAGCTTAGTGCCGATGGCTTACCTATTTTATTGGCGGCTGGGATTCCCGCTGGATAATGGTCAAATGACCTGACCTACTTGAATAATTAAAGCAAGCATATAGTAATGCATATTATCTGGACCACTATAGTCTTCGATCGCAACAGCTGACCTGGGCTTATGACCTGAGCCCTCTATCGTCTGTGACCTCGGAATGGAGCCCTCCACCGGCTGTGACCTCTGACCTGAGCTCTTCCCTGGCTTAGATGAGCCCTGACCTGAACTGTCTGCCGGCCCCGGCCCTGACCTGGCCATTCTACCGTGTATGACCTCTGTCCTGAGCCCTCTATCCTATATGAGCTGAAGTGAGTCCTCCACCGGCTGACATGACCTGAACAAGCCCTCTTTCGTGTGTGACCTCTGACTTGAGCCCTCCATCTGTTGTCATTTCTGACTTAACCCCTCTATCAATTGTGACTTCCGACCTTAGTCCTGTGACCTGAGCTCTCACCTGGCTCATGTGACCTCTGACCCGAGCCCTGCGACGGCTATGACCTCTGACCTTTTATCGACCATGATCTCTGACCTGGTCTCTCCTCCGACAGGTACAGCTGAGGTGACATGCGGTAGCGTCCCACCGGCCGCCCACCACCACCACCTCCACCATGGGTCAAACCACTGACGAGCAGCACTACAGCCTAAAATGGAGCGACTACCACCACAACATGATGACGTCGTTCCGCGAGCTGCAGGATCAGGAGGAGTTCGTCGACGTCACCATCTCTGCCGACGGCCTCTCCATGCAGGCACACAAGGTGGTGCTCTCGGCGTGCAGTCCCTACTTCAGGAAACTGCTCAAGGTGGGTTCGGAGGGCAACGACCTTATCTATGATGGACTGGGGCGAGGGAACGGTTTGCAGTCCGTAGAGGCAAGTAGGATAAGGGCCAGAAGTGTAACTTCTTGAAATTCAATGGGGTTGCACTTAGTTGTTTAGAGCCCAATTTGTGCACCTCACCCCATAAGCGTAATGTTAAATTATCCAATCCTAGGGGTTGCAGCTACAACCCCACTTAACAGTAAACTTACACCCATGATAAGGGCTCGAGTGATTCTGCGACATGCTGAAAATCAAAGTAGGTTTTCATTGTTTCCTGAGACATTTGCTACGTTAAACGGTTCGCAGAAAATGTAGACAGAACGAGCGATGGCGGCCGTCACCTCGTGTGGATGCAACCGACTTTCATTTACCGTGACCGGACTGCTTATAAAATATGATGGACTTTGTTCACACTTGGGAACAGGATAGTGTTGGCAGTTGTGGTTCTGGCAAATGGATGGCCATTGTATGTGATGACGGATGAACGTTTGTGTGTTATTTCAGCATTTTGCCCGCTGTATTTCGTAAGCATTTCTCGTGAAACTTAGGCCTCATCCTTAAAGGGACCCTCCCACCTTCAAAAAAGTTAATGAATTTGCATGAAAGTGATGTCGCTCGGTTCAGAAAGAGCAAAAACGAATATCTACCAAATTTCATCGAAAAATATTCACCGGTTTTCAAGATATTAGACTTTTACTTTTGTTTACTTTTTGGGATCTCCGCTATTCCTAGCGACTTTATTTGAAAGTGCGGCATTTGTTGCGCGCAAAGCAGCATATACCACCGCGTGCTACAAAACGTTTTAGTCAAACATTTAACGGACGTTCGAAAGCCTGATGACGTCATCAGATTCCCGTAATGGTTAAGAGATAGGGACCAAGCTGGTCCCACCCTGCAAGTAAAGGGAAGAAATTTCTTGAACACCATAAAGCTGCGGGGGTTGCGACCAGGATAAATGGTGGTTTCTGAGCCTGGCCGCAAACTTGGCTATCTCAACTCAAAACTAATGTTAAGGTGGGAGGGTCCCTTTAATATTTGCACATCAAATGATAAGCAGACGGTTATGCCGTTTGCCTTCCGCCGTTAAACGATGACTTCGGGTCCTCGCGATTTGTAGACAAAACTGGTCTTTCAATCTAGGCGAGTCACTTGAGTATGTCTTAGGATCCGATTGGGCGTTGGCATGTAAGCACTCCAGTGCTCACATGAGTACGCTCATCGCCTCAGCAATCTTCGAACGCTGATGATTATTGTCTCCAATCACAAATGAAGATAATATCGCACAGAAATGTGATATGCCAGACAGCCCGTCCGTGTCAGCTCATTAATCGCCTGTGTGTCATTATGTCACTAAATCGTGTCACATTCTCTCCGACAGTCGAACCCGTGCCAGCACCCGATCGTCATCCTGCAGAACGTCTCCCCTGCCAGTCTCGAGTCGCTGCTGCGCTTCATGTACAACGGCGAGGTGCAGGTGTCGCACGAGCAGCTCAGCGACTTCCTGCGCACCGCTGAACTCCTCCAGGTCAAGGGCTTGTCCGAGACGGGCTTCAAACACCAGCAGATGGCCGCGCCCGCGCCCATGCCAGAGGTCAGTGTGTGGGGTGGGGTCAGCCGAGACAGGCCACCAGGCGTAAATGCCGGAAATCAGTAGGGGTTTGGTCAGCAGGGGACAGATCATCCCGTCTCAAAAACCAGATCTCAAAAAGAGGAACCAAGTTTGCCGGTCATTTGTGGCTAATATGGAAAAGATTTAATGAGACACAGAAGCTGGAACTATCGAGCAGGCATGTGCGAGAACTGAAAAGATGTTCAAAATCGTAACAAAACTGCACAAAACTACAGCCGAGACAATATCATTAGTGACACAAACAGCTCAGCATTGTCAGTCCTCAGACTCAGTTTCCCCGCCCCTTTCAACTCCATCTTCATCCCTAAGACGACCGAGCGATAGAGCGGCAGCGACCGGAAACGGTTCCAGTCGCCGCCACCGACCGTCGCGATTGTAAACTGTAAAGTTGGCCGCCGCCCGGACGCCGGCGTGCGAAGGGATGCATCTGACTGGCACATGCCACAATGGCGGCCACCGGTCCATCGTTGCCATCGGTACACCATCGGTCCGCCATCGGTTCAGCACCATCGGCGCAGTCACCGAGCCGGCTGAGGTGACGTACAAATACTTGCTCAGCGCTTCAGTGTCTCACTGGGTAACTCGTTTCAATATTGACCGTCTCGCCTCGCACCCTCGTCTTAGCCGTCAAGCGTACCCAGTCCGCGCTAACTCGGTACACCCGGCGATTGTCGAGGGCTCTCTGCGGCAGGCGCCGGTGCCGGGTTCGTGCAGTCGGTGCAGTAGTGTCATGGTCGTCCAACTGTTATCCCTCAGTTCAGACGGAGCTGCGAGCGGTGCCAACTCGGGGCGGCTAGTGACGTCATCGCACCAGTGCCATGTTATTCCTGCAGCGAGAGTGGCGCAGTCGGCTCCTGCCGGCCGTAATGTTTGTCTGTGACGGATACCTGCACCCCGAGCGTCACACCAACGTCACAGCGTCACAGAGACAGGCGGGCGTCACATGCAGACTTGCGAACGGGGCTAGCCGCTCGGGGTGGGCCGCAGCGCTCAGGTGCCGCTCAGGAATCCGCAGCGCTTTCATGGGGCACGCGGCAGAGGTAGTTTATGATCGCGCGGCGTGTGTGGCATTGTCTGAAAATGTCTGGGACTCTGTGCAGCTGTGAGGGCACTTTAGGATGATTGAAAATGGCCACCGGTGTCTCAGACATTAAATGAGGGACGCACGACGTCATTCAAAAGTGGATGCTTTTGTTCAGATGTTAGCATGAGGTTCTATGTCTGTATTCCATCAGTCACGTTGCACATCTCGCCGATTGTTGTTTAAAATCTGATGTTATTTTATCCAGCGGCAGTAAGTGCTAAGCGAACTAACAGAGGCTTACAAACTACCTGCTGATGAACTACTCGTCTCAAACTGACCATCGAACTGACTCTTGACCAACTGACTCATTACAGGCTCGGGTAATCGTCACCCCCAAATCACACAACTCGTCAGCTCCCTTCTGACCTGGCCTGCTCAGACCATTGCGCTCTGACCATTACCTTCTCGTGTGTCTCCAGGCGGACTCTCTGTCCGGTCGGCGGTCGGCCGACTCTCTCCCCTCCCCGTCAGCCAAGCGGGCTCGCCCGGCCCCTGAGGTGAGCACGCCGACTCCCAGCGTGCCGCTGCCGCCCAGCATCACGGCCATCCCAACCTCAGTCCTCACCGCCGCCGGAGCCGTGGAGAACAACAACCACAAGCCGGACCCGGCCGCTGAGCAGCTGCGGCGACTGGAGGAGGAGCGCGAGCGGGCCGAGCGGGCCGCGCCGCCGCCGCTGCACCAGCACCACCACCAGCAGCAGCACCAGCAGCACCAGGAGAAATACGGTCAGTGAGCTGCAGGAGGTGGGATGGATAATGCTCGCGTGGGCACCTCCACAGGAACTTCGTTATTTAAACGGGTGTAAAAGGAGAAGGTCGGTAGGATATTTCGCTTTGAAATACCCCGAAATTATTTATTTTCAAGCCACAGTGGACTTCATTTTCGGCACTTTATTGGATTTAAACGAGTGAGACCGTTTCAGTCTCTCTCACTCCTTACGCCCCATAAACGGACGTGTTCTGCAGCCAGATGTTGGACCGGACATTATCAACTCGCCAGCTCGGCCGCCACATGAGCTCGGTGAAAAAGTTCCCACATTTCAGGCCGGCCAGCATGAACAGCGCTTTAACGTCCGCTCAAATCCAGCCGCCGGCCATCTAATGCCGGCGCTTAGCGGGCTATACGCGGCCCGCAACTTAGAGTTCGCGGAATATTTCCACAACTGAACATCTCTTTCCAACACTGGCCGATGGCGGCGGCAATTTACGGCTGTGCCTCCGCAGTCGAGTGCAGCTGATCGCAGTCAGTTCCGATGACTTGGTCGGTGTTTGTCGCGATTCCGCCGGCGGCGAACGCCGATCGGCGGATCACGAGCCTCATCATGGCGCCCAAATAATCGTCTGCGGGCCAGACAAGTTCGGTCGAAAGTCGATCTTACCGAGTGACTGGCTGGTTAATAAATCTCCGAGTGGACGTCCGCCCCGGCCGGCGAGCTGGCATATTGCCGCCTCTCTGCATTGTCGGTCGACTCGGACGTCGAGTCGCGAGTTGCGCGAACCGCACTCGAGCGTGCCGAACAGATGGGAGACCGCGCCGCTGCCAGGCCGGCTGAGTTGCGACCGATCCCTGACGCCCCTTAAGGCCGATTTTATCGCGTCGATAGCGTCTCCTGGCTGGCTGTGAGTGACGAGCTCTGGACTCGGGGCTCACGGCGCCCGGTCCGCGGCCGCCCGACGTCCTCATTGGCAGCCATCGCGTGTGCGGCGCACCACATCTGGGCAGAAATCACGGGCCTATTTAAACGGGCGGCGGTCGTGCCGCTTTGCCCAGACACCTCATTTCCTGTGACAACTGGGCGCTACCCGACCGACCCGGCTCGACACCCCTCCGCGTCGCTCCCGTCCCTCCCCGCTGCATGCAAATGGAAAGGCGCAAAACAATGGCCGCCTCTGTGTGCGGCGTGTGCGTGAGGAGGGGTTGCCGTGCCCGTACCGTCCCGTCGCTGGTGTCGCGTCGAGTCCGACGATCTGGGGATGGGAGCGGCGCGGCTGCTCTGGCGTAGCGTGCCGGGAGCCGATGTGCCCTGTTTTTACTCGCCGGCCGTATTGATCAGCTTGCCAGCGATGTTGCCGAAGCAGGTGCAGCTTCCAACATGCAGCCGCCGCTGGTTCGATTGTTTTGCCGCAATTAGACGCCGCCTCGCCGTAGGGGAAAGTGGGGTAAGACGGGCACCTTAACTTTGGAGCCATTTTTCGGCCGGTTAGAAACATCATAGAAACGGGAAACTGAGTGAAAACCTTTTACAGACATTTTACTTCCATTTGCCAGAAGATGAGACTTAGACCTGACTCAACAAATAAACTGCAGCTATTTTTGCAAAACCTTGCAAAAACCCATCTTACCCCACTCCATGGGGTAAGACGGTCACATGGGTAGGGCAAGACGGCCAGCTTCTTTCACCGACCAGCACAGCTCGCAGCAAATGCCCGAGATTAGCCGCATTGATACAGTCGCTCGTTGGTCTCAAGTGCTTCGGAAATGGCAGTATACGAGATTCGTGCAGAAGGCGTATACTCGTATATAGGCCCTAGTTCAGAAGCCATGTAGAGCCGTTTTTCACATTCATTATTCGAGAATAAACTGTGCCGAAGGAATATTGCTAACATGTCTGTGAGTATCGGAATCGAACATATTCTTATCAGAAATGCTTCTTTTTTCCTACAGCAACAAAAATATTTTTACCATTACAGACCCATCGGATTCATAGTTGCCCGTCTTACCCCAAACTCAATGTCAGAAGTTCAGCACGATTTTTCTCTGTGGACAATTTGATGCAGACAAAGCAAATCCGCGGTGAATGAACACTGGAGGCATATGAGTGTGCCACAAGTGATTGCCAGTTTTTAACTCTATAGTGCTGCACACAAAAGCTTGCACAATACATTATGAATGTTTTCAATGAAATGAGTGTTTTAAAGAAATCAAAATAAAAGATTATTGACCGAACACAAATTCACCAGACTTCAATGGCGGTGTGTAGTGGGAAAGGCTATTCTGGTCCTAATTTTTCTCGCTCGTAGCGCTATTGGTTTGGTCTGCAGAGGGGGTGCCCGTCTTACCTACCTTGACCGTCTTACCCCACTTTCCCCTATTTGTGTGCGTCGTGTACGCCGCGCTGCGCCGCTGTTGGACACGCGAACGTGTTTGGTGGCGCGCCGCTGACCCGGGGAGGGGAGGGAGGCGTCCTCCGGGACCGCCGACGCGACGGTACCGACGAGCAGGGATTCCAGATGGCCGGCTGTGATTTTCCGACCCGTGTCGGTGACGGCGGTAGGCGATGACGGTTGGAGGAACTCCGGGAGAAGAGAGAGAGAGAGAGAGAGAGAGAGAGAGAGAGAGAGAGAGAGAGAAGAGAGAGAGAGAGAGAGAGAGAGAGAGAGAGAGAGAGAGAGAGAGAGAGAGAGAGAAGAGAGAGAGGGAAGAGAGAGAGAGAGAGAGAGAGAGAGAGAGAGAGAGAGAGAGAGAGAGAGAGAGGGGGGGGGGTGAGGCCCCATGGGGACGGTCCTGTGTAACCTCAGACAGATCGTCTGCAGAGGGGACGGGTGGGAGTGTCTATACGTCATCTCAAAGGGCGGGGTCTCATCTCAAAGCGTACCGCCCTGGCCTCAGAGGTTCACACGCTCCAGGGCGGTCTCGATTTGATATCGTCAAGCCGTGACGACACTGACAACATGGGTCACAGAGGTCAGCTCGGTCAGATCAGGTCACTATCTCCCAACAAATCATCGTTGTCGTCATGTTCTGTAGCTGACAACCTCTGAGCTTGCCACTGCGGTCAGCTCACCCTCCCGCTGCGTCGGATTCTCCCCGGGCGCCCCTATCTGACCCGGGCCGCTCGGGGGTCGGGTCACACCTGGCGCGTCGGAGGCGGCGCGTCGGCCGTTCCAATCGTACCACCGACGCCCGGTTAGCGTCGCAGATCGATCGCCTCCGGCGGTACCCGCGGCCATATTTGCCGCCGCCGGCCGCGACGGGAGATGGTCCGTCGGACCGCGCAACACGCCCCGGGGCAGGTCCGCGGGCGCTGTCGGAGAGTTTAAAGCCCATGGCGGCCGTCCCGCCCCGCCCGGTCGGCTGGGCCTCTGCTCCCCACGGTGCCGGTGCCCCAGTAGCCCCCGGGGGCGACCGGGCGCAGTCTGGAGGCAGCCAATCAGCGGCCTGATTTGTCGCCGTGCCGCTTCCTGATTGGTCGGGTCACCGAACGTCATAGCGGTGCGTCACTGAGTCAGGTGCCGTCGGCCCGGGCGTCATTAGCTTTCGGCAAAACTCGGATCAAATGTCACACTGCGCGCTCGCGGCAAATTAGCAAATGAGGCGCACGCGATGGCGCTGGCAATTAGAATCACGGTACGACCAGGCGCGGGCACCGGATGGGCGGCCGGGGAAAGAGTGTCACGTCACCCCCCAGGCGACGGCCGGGGCGGGGCGGATGGCAGATGAAGAGCACCGCACACGCTATTTTGAGCGGCTCCGCGGTGCCCGGTACCGGTTCAGTATTGATCATTGGATACGGAGACGGCACGGGCGGGACTGCGGCGCGGCGGTCGGCGGCCCGCTTCTGATGACGCCCGGCTGCTAGGAATGGCCCGGAGACGCGTAACGATCAGACAAAGTGCCGCCGCGGACCGGCAGAGGCAGCGCGCCGCGAGCCCGCCGATATACTTAGAATGCAATGGTCTCGGGAGCTCGTTAACCCCACCACGAACAAACGAGGGTTTACTGGCCGGCCGTCGAGTCGCTTAGCGTCGCAGCACGGCGGCTTTGGCGGCAGAAAATGTGGCCTGTCAGTGGCTTCTGAAGCCCACAGCGCACACTGGTCGGAAACGCCCTCACGAGAGGCCACGGGCGATTCCGGAGTTTCGGATTATTTTTTATATAGATCGATTTGAAATTGATCAAATATTATATTTAGGCCAAAAAAACTAATCCGGGTGACCAAAAATAGCTGTAATCAGCCCCCGAAGATGGGGTATCCCAGAACTCGGAAACTAACGCGGAGCAAGAGGTTTCTTGAGGCGGATATTCAGAGTCTTATTGCTGATAGACACCAAATTGAAATCCCACATATTATGCATCAAAATGTTCGTTATGAAGTTGCCGACTGGTCAGTGCAAAATTTTTGGTATACTTTTTCCCTAACTAAGAGGTACTATAGCTTTTTTATGAAGGCTCTCCTACAGTGATTCTGGAATATAACTGCAAAGTTTAGGTAAGGAAACAACAGGTAGTCCCATCTAGTTCCACCCTGATTTTTTGTGAGATGAAGTAGGATTTAAATTTACACCAGGGCAACATAAAAGCTAACTGCGCATATTTGCGCAAAATTTGCAGGAGCCGTTCTTCCTACCCAACTACCGCCCGCCCCGCCCCAGTTTCGGCTCGGCCGCCGCGCCCGGCTTACGCTGACCTGTGTGGCCTGCACGCATCCATGCGCAGCTGACTGGTCATTAAAAACAGATGCGCTTGAGTTTATGAATTTTGTGAAAAGCGCGTTTTATGTATGCATTTATGTATGTATTGACATCAAAAGCCTTCCACATATTGCGTGGCGATTACGGCTTGTATTTAGAGAGCCTTGCTATTGACAACCATCACTCGGCTGAAGAAAGTGGAAATTGAAACCTTCGTGAATATAAGACGCTGCAAATATAGGACACCTGTCACTGACGTCGGGTTACCTTGGGCCGTCTTTTTACATTAGATCACAATTCCGGTATTTAACCCTGGCCGGACCGATTGGTTTTCTACATTGACCGGGGAGGGTTGGTACATCTCCCTCGCCGTTTCGCCTCTAATTGAGCTAGAGCCTCGCGGAAAAAACAAGCTTGTGTGCCGTTATAAGACGCAAAAATTAGGTACTACCCGATTTTAAGGTCTTAGGTCAGCCAGTGACCTCTTAGGTCAGGTAAGTGCCATAAGGCACGGGCTCGGTTTTAGGTTAATTACTTTGCCAAAAATGGTCGCACTGCCGCGATTTTGGCATAATCGTGTTTGTCTAGCTCAGGCGCGTTGAATGCTATACTTGGTGTTCGGTTGAAGTCAACTTAACCCTCACCGGCACAGGCAATTTTGCGTCCTTCGACGGCACAAGGGGGGGGGGGGTTGGTACGACCCCCCTCGCGTTTGGCCCCTGATCGAGCTAGAGCCTCGCGGAAAAAACGAGCGTGTTGCCCGTCACGAGAGGAAGCCGATGATACCCAATTTTAAGGTCCTAGGTCATCGGGTGACCTTCCAGGTCAGGTCAATGACCCGAAAACCGGGAAAATCGGGACCTGTTAGAAAGTCGTAAATTGTGGCTGCTATGTGGTTTTCCGGGGTGCTGATCACGAATATCGTATTAGTTTTGATCAGAGATGATGTCTTTAAGCATTTAGACCAGGTCGGGTCAGGTCAGGTCAGGTCAACCGGTAGGGGTTGTGACGGGTATTCGTAATACGTGTAATACGTAACATGTTACGAAGGCACCAAAACTACTTCGTAAATGTTCAATTGGTTGCTTAATTAGAATTCAGCTCCAAAAACTAGCCTAGAAACATGTAAAACTCGAAAAAGTGAACCGAGGTCACCCGCGAGGTCACCAAAGGTCAATGACCTGACCTGACCTTCAGGTGACCTTGACACCCATCATGATGTATAGGAGCAACATCAAATCACATGTTTGAACGTTTGAAACCACGAAAAGCTTGCAAACGCGCGGCTAATGCGAGCCGACATACGCCGAATCGCGATTTCGGCCAAACATGGTCACGGAAAATAGGTCACAGGTCAAAGGTCATTGGGGTCAGGGTCATGCAATTTTCAGGGTAGGTGTAAAATCGATCAATGCGAGGGTACTAAAAGTTTCGTCGCGATCATACCCCCCCCCCCCTCTGTGCCGGCGAGGGTTAAGGTGTTAACCTCGGGTCAAGGTCAGGTCGGAGCCCCTCAGGTCACGAAAATGGTTGAAGGAGGTCATATCGCATATCATTCGATTCGGCAGGTCTTCCTGAGTCCAATGGTGGCTTTCCCGACTCTCTAGCTCCATCTGATCAGGAGTTATTGACGAAAAACTTACATGGCCTTAGTGACGTCATAAATGACGTCACGCAAAGTCAACAATGCTAAAGTCAAGCACTGGACCTTGCAAGGAGTGCATGAAACCATTCCCGGTGCCCGAATAGCAGCTCCCAATTTCCCTTCTTGACTTAAAGTGGTGCTAGATCCTGTATTATTCTCAATTATGACGTCATAACTTAACAGATTTACGTCATATATTTAGTGCTTGACATCCAAATGATAGCTTACATATGACAGAGAAGGTATGCAAAGTTTTATGAAGTTTGCTTCACTAGTTGTGGAATAACAAGCAAAAAACTTTTGCGGAAAGGCCGCTGGCCTCTCGCTGGAGCGTTTCCGACCAGTGTGCAGCGGCTCATAACACCGGCTCGACGCGAGGGAGGGAGCTGGTTGAGCCGGGGCCGGGAGGTTCTCGGCCGCTCAAAATAAGTTGACCGGTGCAGGACGCTGACAGTAATTCACCGTTCAATTTGTGATGTGATGAATACTCACTTCAGTCTTAGGGTCTGATTCGAGTGTATCAAACTGTGACTTATGACACTAGTTTGGCGTGACAGAGTACTTTTTCACTTTCCTCAGTGACCTGCTGTGACCTGACCTGACCCCTCCCTCTGTCTGCAGGCCTGGAGCGTCTCTCGGGCATGGACAAGTATCCGGCGCTGGAGAAGCTCAGCTCCAACATGGAGAAACTCGGCGGCATGGGCTCACTGCTGGGTCTGCCCGGTTTCGGTGGAGGGCTGCACCAGACCAGCCCGGTGAACCATATGCAGACGGGCCCCAGCCCCGACCAGCACCAGCAGCACCAGCAACAGCAGCACCAGCAGCACCAGCAGCACCAGCAGCAGGGTGAGTCAATGAATCGGTCTTACGATCCGCCCACTGCGCATCCCTCGAGCCGCCCCTGGGGAAGCTGCTGAGACGGCAGATACCCGCCCGTGTCGGTGGGGGGGGGGGGGGGGGGAGGGAACCGGATCACTCGCACTGTTCCGCCCTCGATGGAAGGCTTAATATCCTCCACTCCGGGCCGGCGAATATGGCCGGCGATTGATCGACTGGCTCAGCATTGCTCGGTAATGGCCGATATGTCGCCAGATTTGCTGGCTCATGCCTCTAGATTTGCTGGCTCATGTCGCTAGATCCGCTGGCTCGCCGCCGTCGGCAATGGTCGATACTTGGGCGCGTTATTACGGCCATTGACGTCATGCAAAGAAGATCGGTAACCGGCCTTAAAATAGGCGGTTTAATCATTAGGCGGGGTGGGTTCACAGAATAGAAGACTGAAGGTGAACACTATCTGAACCAGTGCCATTTGATCCGACGCTCGGAGACGGGTAAATTTAGACCGACCGCGCGCCCAATCCCCGGTGAATGTTACTGCCAGAAACTGTCTCATGATTTAGATCAAGTAACTCTTTTAGCGCCAGTCAGGCGACGGCTCATGCTTACCAAATACCGGGACTGAAACGGGCGCGAGGCTTACCTTTTGTTATAGTCTGACGGTCTCAGCATATAGATCTAACAATAAACAATGGGTCGTGAGGTCTTGTCATGCATTACCAGCGGCCCTGCCTCCCGGCCCCCAATCGCTACTGACTCTGTGGCTGGCCCTGCGGTGCAGGTTTCCGACGCGGCATGGACATGTTCCGTCTGCGCGCCACCGACCCTCGGCCGTGCAACATCTGCGGCAAGATCTACAAGAACGCGCACACGCTGCGCACGCACATGGAGGACAAGCACTCGCAGTGCGCCGGGTTCCGGTGCGTGCTGTGCGGCACGGTGGCCAAGTCGCGCAACTCGCTGCACTCGCACATGTCGCGCCAGCACCGCGGCATCAGCACGCGCGACCTGCCGCTGTTGCCCATGCCGGCGCCCTGGGACCCCGAGCTGGCGGCGCGCTTCATCGCCCGCTCCGGAGGCCGCGGCGAGGTGGTGCGCCAGTCGGTCAGTCGCTGGGAGAAGTCCATGAGCAGCTCACCGGTGCCGTCGCCCGTCGGAGCCGGAGGCCAGGAGAACGGCGCCTCCAGCGACGCCGACCCGTACCGGGTGAACCTGATGCACCAGCTGGCCGCGCAGGCGGTTACCTCGGCCGCCGGCGGAGGGACGGGCGCCAACGGCGGAACCCCGGCGCCCACAGCGGGCGGCGGCGGCGGCGGCGGAGGTCCGCCGGCGCCCGGCTCCACCGGCTCAGCGGTTCTCGACACGTACCTCCAGATGATGGCCGAGCAGGGCCTGGACCTGTCGGTGGGCGTGGCCGGCGCCCGGCGGCCGCCGTCGGCCGGAGCGCCGCCCGCCGGCTCCGACGACGAAGAGGAGCCCGAGGAGGCGGAGGAGGCCGATGACGGCGACAAAGAGGGCTCCGACCGCTCCGACGAGCCCGACAACGGCGACAAGGAGAACGCCAGCTGTTCGGGCGGCACCTCGGACCGCGACGGCTCCGACTGAGCCGCCCCCGCCCCCGCCCGCGGGCGGCGCACACTCCCAGAGGCGTACACACTAGCTTAGCCGTCCGATTTTTACCGCTCTTTTGTAGACGTGCGTGCGCGGACGCCGTTAAACGGAGACGATTCGGACATAGTCCAGCCCGTGCCAGCGCCAGCGGCGCCCCTATGCACCGACGACCGTAAGCAATATTTATAAATTGAGCCTATTTTGTGACACAATGTGACATTGTGTACAGACTGTTGGATTCCTAGCGCCTTACCGACCACCCAGAGTGCGAGAAGAGCGGCCGGCGCCGGCCTCGGTCGGCGCCGCGGCGTGCCGCGCCCGCCGGCAAGTCATTCATACAGGGTTTACTGGTTCGGCTGAGAGCGAACGAGAGAGCGAGCGGCGGGGCGGCCGGCGGGTCCGCGGTGCCCGGCGCACCGTCCGCCGGCCGTCCCGGGCGCCAGCAGTAGAGACAGAGGGTGTCGGACGAGCCGGCCCGAACCGTAGTGACCGCGCCGAACCATGTGTAATGTAAAGCAATAGCCAGCTGTGTCTAGATGAAGTGATACTCTGTGCGTGTGGGTAGATCGCTATTTTAGTATACAACTGTTTGTGGCCCGTTGTGTCAGACGTAGGCGCGTGTAGTCTGCTTTGGAGTCCGGTCGACACTCGCTAGGGAATTTGTGCCTTAGATGAGACTGAACCGGAGGCCGGGTTCGCGTGCGGCGCGGGCGGACGGGGGGTGCGGGGCTGCCGCCGTGGCCGTCCGTGCTGACCCTGGGTCAGCCGGCGGAGCGCGGCAGGTCACCCAGTGGGGTCCTGGAGAGGTTCAGTTATGCCGGGAGCGGCGGACAGTGTTAGATGTTCCGTGCCTGTCTACTAGTCGATGTACGGGATGCACGGATCTCCAGGGATCTGATTAGGGTCGGAGATTCTGTAAAGGGTTGTGAAATCGACATCGTAGCGAGCCCCATAGGAGAGGACCCTGCCAGCTTTTCTGTCACATAGGGGACTGGAAGCTGCTAAGGGAATTGTCGCCCTTAGAACGGCATCATTGGGCTCCTTAGAATCTAGGGCATTTGATGGTTCGCCTCGGGGCAGGGGACAGGAGCACCCTAACGTTGCGACCCGTAGGTGGAGGGTTCCAATCCCGGCATGTGCTAGTACCTGAGCACTCTTGTTTTGGCCGCTCTGTGATTGTCGGTGATTGGGGCCGCGGCCGGGGGCCGGCTCTAAACCGTGACCCCTGGCGCGGCCCCGGGAGGGAGGGCAGGGGCCCGCGCCGCACGCCCGTCCCGGACCGCCGAGTCGTCGATAACACAATAGCCACCCTGTCGTACTGTAGCTCCGGAGCTGATTCGAAAATGTCGCTGAAATCGTCCGCGCGCCGCGCCACTAAACGGCGCCTGCGCCGTTTAGTTTTGTTTGTATTCTCAGGGGACATTGCAGGTACTTGTTTCCGCGTTCTAGTCTAACGGTTCAGGTAAAATCGCCCGGTTATATATTCTCTTCAGTCTACAGGGTTGCGCGTTATTGTCGCGTACGTTGGTAAATTTGTTGAGTTTTCCTTGTGCGTATTCTCTGTATGCAGTAGTGCTGTAGTTGTTAGCGCTTCTCATGTGTTGACCAGTGCGCTGACGTCGCATTTTGTAGGGTGTTCGGCTGCTTGGCAATTATTGTAATTCCTGTAACGATTGTGCCAAACGTACATGCAAAACCACTGTTTTGATTTGCACTAGTAACCACTCCATATGAGAGACTAGGCGCTTCCCGTCGATAATGAGCGTAGTGTCTTGTTTTCTGTCTGATAGTACCTGATATAGAGCATAGTGAATAATACTCAACTATCGAACAATACTGTAGTACAACGCTTCCTATTTTACATTTAGTGCCGCTGTTTTTCTGTAGTGATGTACTGTCATGGTTTTGCTGCGCGCCGGTTCTTCGGCTCCTATTTTTGTTGTAGACTGTTTCGTTTTGTGTTGTTCGCGCTGCACGCCTGAGGCCCTGCTCTGCCCCCTCCCCCAGGGGACGTTGACGCGACCCCTCTATCGTCTCAGTTCGGTCAGCTGATGTTTCAAATCTTCTCCGCTCCATACGGCGCGCCGTGTACAGAGTGTAGGGCCGCGGGCCGACCCAGATGGATGTTGTCGAGTAGTGCCGTGTCTGTGCAGACTGCAGGTTGACCAGCAATACTGGCGCGCGCCGACCGACGGCGGCCGACCGCGCCGCCGCGGCGCGTACACGTTTTATACTAGAGTGTTAGGCGCGCCGCACGGCCGCTGTACATGCTGTGTACGATAAGTGTCGTAGCATCGGTCGCCGCCCGGCTGTGACCCGAAGTCAGGTCGCCAGCAGCCGCTCCGACCTTGCCGCTGTCGCCTCCGCCGCCGCCGCCACCTCAATTAGAGCCATCACCGTCCCTTTCGCCGTCATCGCCGCCCAAAATAGCCTGCCCCGCGCAGCCATCGGTAATTGTTAAGGCATCGGCGGTTTGCAGGCGGTGTTCGTCGGCGTCCATTCCACCGCAAGCCAGCGCTGGCGCCGTGATCATTTGACAATAATTCAGTTATTTCTGTACGGTGTGACGTCAGAACGGCGGCCGAGGTGCGGGCCAGCGACCGCCGCCACCGCCGCCGCCGCGCGGGCGCGCCACCCAGTGAACTTGGCCCAGTTGCGCGCCACATACGCCGACGTGCCGCGCCGCAATCGCCGCAGACGCGCCGGAAATAGCCTACTGTCGTGGCGCGCCGATCACAAACCGTCCCTGCGGCGTCTGGGCCTCCTCGGCCGTTTACGTCAGCACTGCAACGCGAGCTCAAAAAGCAGCTAACTGTCGAAACCGAGACCGAGCTTTGTGCGAAATCAGGTCAGAAGGCGCGGTGCGGTACACCGTTTAGCGTTCTGCAACTTGCCGTGCAGTTTTTGCGCTCGTTTTTATCTCCGGCCACCAGCGACAGCTCGTAATGGAGTCCCTCATTGAAGCACGGCCCTGTCCAGTATCGATCGGCCGTTGAAGGGGATTGCGCTGTCGCGTGCTGCGCGCTCGGGGCTGCGGAGGCTGCGGCGGCGGCGGAGCACGGAATGGGAAAGCCACAGCTGGCTGCGGGCAGCTCGCAGCGGCCGGCTGGGGGTCTGAACGGGTCACAGCCGACGGCGACTGGAACTAACGCGGGCAGATCTGGGCTTAGTAGACAGTATTGTGTAAGAACGCGCTTCCAGGAATAAACGTAGGAGCCGACAGCGTGTGTTTTGCCAGCAGGCGTTGGACGGGTGTGGAGGCAGTGGGGCAGACGCAGCCACTAGGCAGCGCTTCTGACAGTGGGTGGGACAGACGACGAGAACGGCCTCGCAAGTGTCTGACGCTGGCGACACAGCGACAAAGAGCCCATTGAGCACTGGAAGGACACTGCGACCAACGACATCTCATAACTCTCACATCCTCCTCTCCTCGGATCATGCAACTGTAATAGTTCGCTCCTGCGAGTTGTTGACTCCTCACTCCTGTCTCATTTGTTTGCACCACTGGGTCATCCTTAAGCTGAGCTGCAACTAGCCTGAAACACTTAAAAACGCACACACTGAGCGTCTAGAATGGCATGGGTCTCATCCCGAGCAAGCAGCACCATGCAGACTTTCGTCAGGTTTCGACTTTCTGTCCGGATTTCCGTCAACCGTCGTTCAGTGGTAAGGTTTTTTCTCAGGACGGCTTTTTTCATCAGACTCCGTGATCCTCCACTGGAGCGGACGTCAGTGCGTCAGTGGCTGGAAAGCTGCGCCAGAAATGGACGTAAAAAGGCACCTCTAGGCCCGTCACGGTAAAAATTCAGCAGCCAGTGTGGGCGAGTCCGTTCCCATATTTGGCCGCTCACCAGATGCGGCTCGGATTAGGCTTCGAACAAACGCCACTCTGGCTTGATCTCGATAATAACAGCATCGACTCAATTATGGAGAAAAACAGGACGGAAGGTAAACAAGTCAAAGAAAAACATGCGAGGATACACTGCCATTTCTTCAGAACTGGCTTCAATTCCGGTCTGAGTCCTTCGTGCTCTTTGATCTTCGCACCTACATACAAAATGAAATTGAAACCACTCTCATGAAGTTGATAATGCCTGGATAGTCGGATACACTTTTGCTTACGATTCTACCTTCCACAATTGTCATGCACATTTTAATATAATCGTCACTCACGATTATATTAGAATCGTTACAGTCGGTCGTCACAAGCTAATATAAAAATACCGAGCACATGCTTCACGAATAAAACGCAACTATTTTAATCCAGCTACATTACTCCGCGTCTAAATCTCCCAGCATTCCTCCGGAATTATCCCGGCCAGGAGTAGATAAATCACCACTGATCACCGCCCCGCTACCTCGACGCCCGCTCATCAGACGCTCCGACCTTATCTTGGCTCGGCGCGTGCAACATAACCTGCTCGGGGGCGGCGGCTGGCGGTGACGGGTCGCGGTGAGGACAGCCACTCGGCGCCGCGCCGCCAGCGATCCCTCTCGGACGCCACCGGCAGCCACACAGGCGCATCTATTAATGTTGGGCCTCAGTGCGCCGTCAGTTTTTACCGGCGCCGGCGCGCGATTGTCAGCTGGCCCTGTGATTAACGATCGGTTTGAGACGCTCTGCGCAGCCACCCCGGCCCACTTGGTCGGCCTCCAACCGGCGCACAGCCGCCTAGTGGCACCTCTTGCGCGCGCTAAATCCCGCAGATCCCGGCGGAGGCGGCGGGTCGAGTAATTACACCTCCAGACGGAGCGCTCGGCGCCTCCTGCGCAGCCGTCCTCTCATCTCAGAGAGAGCTCGGCGGTCGTGCCGGCCCGCCCGCCGCCGCCGACGGTAACCAGGCCAGCTCATCGGCGACAATCGACGTTTGATCTGCGGCAATCGGCCGTCGTCAGCGGCAGCTTCTCTCGGCGGCGAGCGCCGCTAGGGGGCCATCCAGCCAGCTCTACCGCTCCCCTCCCTCCCTTCCTCCCCACCGCAGCGCACCGAGCGAGAGCCGACACAACGAGAGAGAGAGAGACAGAGCGCGGGGCGTCAGCGCGTTTATTCCAGATCATCGAGCACACCTTGCACACCGCGTCGGTCGATGACAAGCAGACTGTCGCCCGCGGCCGGCGGCTGGTGCCGGGGCCGTTTGGGGGCGCCGCCTCCTCCGGGCCGGCCGGGCCGCGTCCCTGCCTCTGCCGTCGGGGGCTTACCACCGCCTGAAATCAGTACCGTGTGCGTCATCCAGTGGCGCTCTGGCGCCCGCGTCACCAGTTTACACGGCAGCGGTGGCTGGCGCGCACTTACACAGTACAGTTGGCACGCGTGGGGATTGACGGCGCCTGCGCGGTGACGGAGACGCGAGGGGAGGGGAACGGAGGGGAGAGGAGAGACATATCAAACGGACACATTCACAGGCTGCAGGATAATCAGCGATGGACTATTTCTGCAATCTGCAGCTTTGTAATGACTTGGAGGGAATTCGTTTAGGCGTTACTGTACGGACGTCATAAAAGCTCAAACACTTTCACGATGCAAGAATGAGCTATGAGAATATATAACATGCATACCGAAAATTCATAAAAAGGGATTATATTTATGACACATTGAGAGTGATCACAATTGATATAAATACGAAAACGGTAGATTTCGGCATATTTACAGAAATGGTTACTGCCCTGGGTAGAATGACAATACCCGAAAATATGACAATGATGTCCAGGACAGTCGACAAGATAGATATAGCCAAACATTGACATTGACAAACATTGACATACTTAAAGTTGCATTAGCTGAATCACTAAGGCACTTCCTACAAACCGCAATTTGTTGTACTTCTTCTTAAAAAGAGCTTATTAAATTCGCAAACAATTCTGACAGTGTTTGCCAACGCGCTTGGCCCAGGCACCAGCGATTTCACGCTCCCACCAACAGATGGCACTAGTAAACGCCTGAAATTATGCTGTGCCGCAAAGCACTGCTCAGCTGCTTGTCTGGCACGGCAACGCAGCGCAGGTCTGTGGGGGTGCGGTTATTTTTTCTCATCTTAGTTTGCTATTTTGGCGCGATTTTGACAATTTCTGGCGCATTCCACCTATTTACTTTAGCGGCCATAGGGCAATGGTTTACTAACGGGAGATGTGATGAATTGCAGCAGCAATACTTGGAATATAAAGAAGAAGTGAAGCAATTATGATACCTATTATTTTCTATAATGACAGAAGGAACGTGGAAGAAAAAACATTTTGTGCAGCATGTGAAAACAAGGAAATCGAATGAAAGAAGGGCTGCTACTTTTCATGCGCCCGAAACCAGCCACCTCATCATCAGCATGGTAATGATAGTTTAAGTTTATGTTAAAAAAGAATAGGAGGAGCTGCTGCAAAGGTGATGTCTCAAAGCCATTAAGTCAAGTCAGGCATGCTCTTACAGACGGAACATTCAAGTTACGAGACCCCATCATACCGCTCCAGTGGCTGGTGCTAATGTTGTGCAATTTCAGATACTTTGTTTATTTTTTGTGGCATAATATCTAGAAAGTTTTTTGCAAGTCTGGTGATGACTGATAATTCAAATAAGTGATTTAGTAAAATTAAGTTGAGTGGGTACAAGTGCTTTTTTCTGTAGAAGAAATATTTGATTTTGTTTTTACTTTGCTTACCTGCTGTTATTATCATAATTGCCTCTATTGAGCTGGGTATTTCATTATATATTGAACTACCAAATTTATATTTGAAAAGTAGGTATTTACTATGTAACAACGAGCATTAGGCTGCATGGCAGTAGTCGAGCTTGTCAAATACCTAAATGTTTTGCTCAGAAATTGTTTGCTTTATTGGTTTCTTGAGTTTCACCAGATAAAGATACAAGGTTGGCTGATTTGGTGTTAGTTATCCATATTAAGTGCACTGTTTTTGACAAGATTATGGAAATTGTAACCTCAATAATGAAATTTCATGCTGTCAAAGCTATGAGATGTTGCCTTGAGTTTGAAATCAGGCAAACATGGATTGAAGCTGTTTTCTAAAAAAAAAAAAAATGCTTTTTAGTAACTTTCACCTCATAATTTGTATTTATTCAATCTCAGATGGGAGCAAGGCTGAATCACAATTATCTTTTGGGAAATGCTCTACAAAACTGCATTGTTTTTATTTCTGTGGCATAATTTTGTGCCTAATTCAAAGACTTTCTCTGGTGTAGTTTGTAAGGTTGTTTGAACTTCTTCTCTCTAACCTGTTTGGTGCCAATAAATCCTGCAACCTAATTAGCTTATTTACCCATCTCTCTTGCCATTCCTACATATTTTATGTCAGTCTATTGCATAAATATTGTGTAGTTAACATACTTCATGATACACAAATGAATGGTACCTATAGAGGCTCGATGTGGGTAAATGAGAACCAATGAACCTATATTTTTTTACAATGGCATCAAGTCCTCTTGTCACGGCCATGGATATCAGTTATCACAGAAGATTTTGCTGAACTGCGCAAGAGAATCCTGTGCAAGGAAATGTTTTGCATGATTTAGCTTAACAGCATAAATTTTATTTTCCCAGTTGCATTGGAGCTCTGCTGGAGTTTGCTGATGACAGCATGCTGAAGGGCTGAAGCTGGTAGCTCTGGCAGGAGTCCAGTGTCCACCAGCTCAAGATCCGACGCCGCCGCGTCGCCGCCGTGCGGCACTCCGCGGAGACGGGGACGGCGGTCATGATTGAAGACACCGCATTTCCCGCCTGGACTGTCCGGTCGGAGACTGATAATCCCTCCGGTGAGCCGCACACCGTGGAGCTACTGCACCGCGCGTGTCCACCCGCAGTGCAGTGCCAGCAACGGTGCCGTGAGTGCGACATCTGCGTGCATATGACGCAGTGCGACTGTCACGACTCGCGGCTCAGTGTTAACTGTCAGTGTGACAGTGCGGCTCGCGCTCGTTTTAGCGAGGTGCTCTGTTGTATATAACCACCTTGATGGAGACATATGTGCTGCCGCTTGAGTTTCAATGTACAGTTTTATGCATCAAACTAGCGTAAGTAAATGGCTGTCAGAGGTCAATTTGAAGCGCAATTAGTACCCATAACCCAGCTGGGTTGACCGTGTCATGTGACTAGTCCCGATCAACGTACTGTTTCGATGTCGTCAGTCGTAGACTTTTGTAAACCATTCGTTTCGGAGCTCTGTGTTGTGTTGTTCGGGATCGCAGTTGTTTGAGCAGTTTGCTTTATGCGTCGTACGCGCTGACAGAACGCTGGTCGTACACAAGTCATGTGTTTCCTTTCGCCCCTAATGGGTTACTGCGGTACCTATGCAGTTGGAATGTGTCTCGAGACACTAACTGGTCGCACTTGGTTGTGAAAATGACACTAGCTGGTCGCACTTGGTTTCAAGCTGCGCTTGGAAATGGTGCAATATTATTTGCATTTTGCTATGCAATTTTATTGCCGTAACCGTATTGGTAGATAGTGTCAGAAGTTGGCCATTGGATGCGTCGTCACTTGTCAGACGCTGTTGCCTTAGTACTGACAAATTGATGGGTCGCGTTTGTGTTCCTGTTAAGAAACGGATCTCAATATAAGATGATTCAGAGTTAGGAACCTGAATGCATTCGTTCAGACTTTTCATTTTATGGGGATGCACTGTTTCATGAGCAAGAACGAGCATGGCTCTCGTTGAGCGAAGCGGAAGCGCAATCGATATTTGTTATCGTGTTTGTAGACTGTGGCCACATTTACATCACCATTCAACTCCACGCACCAGCATTATTTAAAGTGCTTGAACCTATACTTCATTTCGCTAAATTTCGGGGTCGTCAACCTACGGTCCGTGGCCGTTACGTTTGGCCAATAACTAGATTTTATACATTTAACTGGTTCATATAATCACAGCATGATGCCCCGGACAATTTTTATTTGATTCACTGATAATGAATGTATCCCAGTACCGCACAAACTGAGGCTGAAACTGGACAACTCGCTTTTCGAGGTTCAAGTTCATTATCTTCCGATGTGATGGAATGGTAAGCATTTAATGTTCGAAGAAAATGGTCAGCGTTAGCAGTGCTAGGCGGGTATTATGAGCTTTCAGTTATTTTAATATTTGTTTAGGCTATTATTATCGTAGTATCTCCTGTCAATTTCACGCGGAATATATAGTATTATCTTATACAATCGCGGTAACTATTTTCTGCCGGTTACTGTTATTATCATTGATTCGTAATATTTCGCTACGAGCGTGGCTCGATTCACATTTTTCTCATATTGGCATTCAAGATTTAAGAATAAACATCTTTTAATGCATTCCAATGTCATCAAAATGTCTATATGCAAAAAAAAGTTCTAAAAATTGCAGCAGTTTTGTGAATCAAAAATAGCTGTAAAATAGGCCTGTGTAACTTCAACAACAGTGCGCCGAAAAACGTCTAAAAACGCGTAAACAAAAACTAAGATGTAAAAAAATAACTGCACCCGTCTGTGGCAGCAGAACATTCGGATACCACGGTTCGTAACTCCTCGATCCTCAACGACTGAACTGCTTATCCTAGCGATGCTGAAACTCCCTGAAATACTAGGTAGCGTAACGCTTGCCGGCTCCAGTGAATCGATTTCAGATGTCTTTCTCCATAAACAAAAAAAAAAAGTGTATTTATTCCCCTTTCCTGACAAGATGCCTGCGAAAACTATCTAGCCTGGCCTATATTTTCCACTTACGGGTGGCTCACCTCCCTTCTTCAATGTCTTCTTTACATAAACCGCAGCGTCGACAGTCGTGAATAATTGAGGGGAGAACGCAGCGCCACAGTCAAGAGTCGTGACAATTTTTTTCTTACAGAAACCTTGTTTCAAAAGAATAAACAAACCATTGTGGAGCAATGCAGAGACATGCGTGACGAGACAAAAGTAGGACATTACGAAAACGAGGACTGTAACAATAAAAGCGGCTAGGATATATATTATTAGGTAGGTACTCATGCTCCATGTCGATTTGCTTGAAAATTCAAAATAGCGTCGGTGAAACGAAAAGAGCGACAAAAATAGACATACATATTACATTTCTACTTTCAAAGAAAAGGCCATAGGCCAACCATAGGCCAAACACAAAGAAAGGATAAGGTGACACAGGAAAGACGAGGCAAGTACAGCAGCTTCACACCCCGGCCATTCGCACTGAGTCGGGACGGCGGCGTTTCATGTATTCTGTCGTGAAGGAATTCAATGAACTGC